CATATGTCTCCTGGTCTTGAAGGAGTAACCTTATATAGAAGGTTTCCTGTGGGGCCCAAAAGAGCAATTCCCCCTCTTTATCTTTGATTATCTGTAGTTTGAAAATGATATGCCAGTGTGTATTTTTTTGGCATGTATCCTGCTTCATGCTCTGTGAGCTTCCTGGATCTGTGGTTTGGTATCTGACCTTTATTTAAGGAAATTCTCAGTCATTATTGTGTCAAATATTTCTCCTCTTCCTTTTTCTCTTTCTTCTCCTCTGGTATTCCATTATGTGTATATTACACCTTTTGTAGTTGTTTCATAATCCTTGGATATTCTGTTTTATATGAGTCTTTGTTCTCTTAGCTTTTCAGTTTTTGAGGATTCTGTTGATGTATCCTCCAGACCAGAGATTCCTTCTTCAGCTGTATCTACTAATAAGCCCATCAAAGGATTTCTTTCTCTTACAGTATTTTTGATCACTAGCATTTCTTTTTGGTTCGTTTTTAGAATTTCCATGTTTCTGCTTACATTGGCCATCTGTTCTTGCATGTCATCTACTTTATCCATCAGTGCCCTTAGCATATTAATCATAGTTATTTTAAATTCCTGGTCTGATAATTCCAACGTTCCTGCCATGTCTGGTTCTAATGCTTGCTTGGTCTTTTCAAATTGTGTTTTCTGTATTGTGGCACGCATAGTAACTTTTTCTTGATAGCCATACATGATGTACTGGGTAAAAGGAACTGCTCTAAATAGCCCTTTAGTAATGTGGTTGTGAAGTCCAGGTGGAGGGGATGTGTTTCTATTCCTATAATTAGGTCTCAGTCTTTTAGTGAGCCTATGCCCTAGGGTGCAAACTTCACAAGAGTTTCTCAGGTTTTTTTTTGTTTGTTTGTTTGTTTGTTTTTTCTCACAGCTTAGATGGGACAGGATGGGTAGAATGGGCTGGAGTTGGGTATTTCCCTTTTGCAGGTAGTTAAGGTCTGATCATCACTCAGCAGGTCAGGCTCTGGTTAACTAGCTTCCCCTGTGGGCAGACTTGTTAAAAAACAGTTCTCTGGCAAATTTCAAAATGGTTCCTTTTCTCCTCCCGCTGCTGTAAGCACAAGGGAATTTTTCTCTGCTATTTACTGTGGGAACGTGATTGAGCTCCTGGGAGTAAATCTCACAATATTATGGGGTCTGCCTGTGACTGGGTTGGCCTGGATTTTTTAACTCTCAAAGAGTCGTCTGTGCTGAGCCTCCAGTAATTTGTCAATTACGTTTCCAGTGTTTCTACCCCCACGCTGCTGTGCACAGTGGTTCTAACTCAGGTCTCTGCTCTTGTGAGCTGTTAATCCACTTATTTGCCTGTCCTTTTTCTCCAGTCTTGGGGATAGTGTTTTTCCCTGTGCCCTCCTCTCTCTTAAAGATCTAAAAAGAGTTGCTGGCTTTTAAGTCTGGTCAGTTTTTTCCTCAGAGGCAATTTTCAAACTCCTTATATGTACAGCCAGAAACCTTCTGTTTCTTTTTTGGCGCATTAATTTTGGGTATTGTGTATGAAGTTCCAATAATAGTAAGGTTAAGTTTTATATCCCTATATATATATTCCTTATTGTTTTCCTCTGCAGTTTTTTTAGGCATCCTATTCTTCCATTCTGTCCATTTCTCATCTTCCCAGATCATGGCTTTAAGGTTAGTAAAGTTTCCCAAATTAATTAAAGATGCTATTTCTTTTTTACTCCCATTCTAGCCATGTGGGGTTAAACCCACAACATTTCACTGTTCATTCTAAATTGTGACTTGTGCCACAACTTAATCTACTGGTTGCTCTTATAGGTCTTCCAGTCTTTTGAAAACATATGCAAACAAATAAAAGTTAAGCACTGCTGAAAATCATATTCAAACCCATAAAAACATGTTTTGTTAATGTAATTAATTCTGATGAACACTGTCCCCATAATCCAACAGAAAAAAAAAAAACGACTTAGTTTTCCTCCACATAATCAAACTTCAGCATTTACTTTTCTTCCGATTGTTGACTGCTGTTTGGGCTCTGTCTGAGATGTTTGAGTGTTTGTTTCTTATGTTGTTCATAACTTGTGTTTTATAAAATCATCAGTTATAATTGTTAGCCTCAATACAGCTATACAGGGTAAATAAATCGTGAGCCAAAGAAATGCCATAGGAAACAAAAATGGGCAAAAACGTGACAAGACCTATTAATTGTCCATTTCTGTAATGAACTGAGACATGGATGATACTGTTGAATCTTCGTTGCTCAAGCATGTTCTTGAATTATTTTTTCTGGAATGATTACATTCACATCTTACTCTGTAAGGTTTAGATCCAAGTAATATTACAATCACAAAGATGTTCTAGAATATATCAGCTCACATTTGCCGCTTTCTTTGATTCCTATAGAAATCATGGAGTGGATCACATAACTGAAAATGTTATTCTGTACTGTCTTGCACATTAGTTGCAATTGATTGTCCAAGTAAAGTTTAAAGTCTTTAAATCACACTTTATCATTTTCCCTGGGAAAAAATGGAACACAATTTCAATAAATATTAATTTTCTTGGTGCTTATCCTCAAATTCTGGTTTACATGGGATAAAATGGAGACTTGACATGCAAAACTTAAACTGAGTTTGGAAACCAAAGAAAGTAGGATGTATAAGAAAGCTCAGAAACATACCTTGAAACAATCTGAAGAGATCAAGAAATAGGCATTTTCAGTTAACACTGAGTGAAGAAAATGGACTGTCGGGGAGAAATTTTTTATCTTTTTAGTAAAACTCCATTTAATTTATATATTTTCTTGTATATATATTCTAATTTGTCCAGAATTCTAATTTGTCTGGACTGAGCTGAATAATCTTCCTTAAATGAACTGTTTAATTATCTAGAGTGAGAATTAACAGAAAAGACTGTGCTCCATAATAACCCCTGGTTATGTCAACTGCAAAGCCCGCCTTGCCCCTCCTGCAAGAACAGGCTTTCTAACATGAAAATGGAGTCAGGTCACACCAGTGCTCATATTCTTTCAAAGATTTCCCATTACCTACATTTACGCCTGCAGTTCCTGGTGGGGAATACAGGTATGGGCTTTCAAGCACATCTTTCTCTTCCTCTAAGCCACTGTTTCTTCATCCTTAGTGAGCATGTCATCAACGAAATGGATCACCATAGAATTTTCAAAAATACGAAATAGAAATTTCCTTGTGCATTGCTCACGGTAAAGCTGAAGACATTTGTGGATGCTCTGGTTAGGGAATATATGCATTCTGGTTTGCCAAGGACAAGTAGTCTCATTTATATCTGTTCTCCCAGCCTAAGTATCTCTTGTGGTCCCTTTCACATTCAACAATGTCACAGGTTGGATGAGAAGATATATGTTTACCCTAATAATGGAAGGTAAAGTAAAATGTATATTTCTTAGTATGCACAACAGTAAAATTTTTTTGAATTGATTACCCCAAGCCTTTCTTGGATTTTTTTTAAATTTTTACTTCTTATATATAAATACTCTTTGTTATTAGAGTTGATTTACAATATTATATATTTCAGCCATATGACAGCGATTCAGTATTTTTATAGATTATACTCCATTTAAAGTCATTATAAAATATTGGCTCTATTCCCTGTGTTGTACAATATATCCTTGTATCTTATTTATTTTATACCTAGTAGTTTGTACCTCTAAATCTGACTCCACTTTGGCCCTCCCTCATCATCCCTCTCCCCACTGGTAAGCACTAGTTTATTGTCCATATCTGTGAGTCTGTTTGTATATATTCATTTGTTTGTTTTATTTTTTAGATTCCACTATAAATACTCTTTATATACATTTTACTTACATAGATATATGAATACATCCATTATAAACATGATCTCATTTAGTCCTTATAAAGATGCTACAAAATTGGTATTACTAACACCATTTCATAGATGAAGAAGTTTGTTGGGAGGCTGGGTAGCACAAAATTTAATGGTTAGGAACACAGGCTTTAGAGAGACCTGGCTTCTTAGATCTTTATTCCTTAACATGTTAATAAAATTGAAATTCACTGAACATATATTTCTCTTTATTTTATTTCTTTGTATAAGCAGATTCTTATACAAGGATACATTCTTATACATTTGTTTCTTTTCCTGGTATAAGCAGATACTTCTACCTAGAATGGCTTGCCTTCTCTCCACCTCATTCTTTGCCTCCCAGGAAATGTCTTACTCATTTGTGAAGGCTTTTACTTATTCTGGAAATAATAAAATGCAGTATCTAATAAATGTTAAACATTTGTATACAGTTCATGGGTGAGACACAGGTGGAACTGGATAAAATGAAGACATGGAAATAAAAAATATTTAGAGGCAAAAAGAGTTTTGGATTTGAGGGAGGGGAGTAAGGAAAAAGATTTTGAATTTAATTATCTCTCTGTATTAGGGTAAAATGGCCAATGGAGTTGGGAAGGTAAATAGGACCAGAATAGAGAAGGCTTTCAATGCCAGGATAACAAATATGTTTTTTTTCATGATGTGTGTGTGTAGACATTCATATACACAGACTAACCTATACTTGAACTGTCAGTGTTTGGTGGGCAGGTAACACAAAGTAAATGGTCTTTGTGAAATAAGCCGAAAGATCTCACATAAGTGTAAAGAACAGTACTGTTCTGAGAAAAAAACCCATAAAATACACTTTGACTAAATGGTTTAGCCCGGGTCTTCCAAACACTTAGAGCCTGAGCCGAAAGCTTGTATGCAGGTAATTTATTTGGGGAAGTGATCAGAGGAACAAGACTGAAATGCTAAATAGAGAAGGGTGAGAATCAATGCAAGAGTGTGTTGTTCAGAGCTGGTGTCCAAGTTGTTCACCACCATACAACACTGGGCCCAGTCCCACTGTAGACCTTCTGAGGAGCCCAGTAGTACACCCCCATGGCCTGCCAAGCCCAAAGCACAGGAGTGTTACCAGGTCCTGTCCCTTGAACAGTGCCAACACTTGGGTATCTGCTGTCTCTCGTTTCCAGGACTCCAGTGGTCAGCGTGGCTGACGTGCTATCAGGATCCCCGTCTGCACAGGTGGTTCCCACAATACTTGCTGGAGTGACAAGCTGTGACGAGAGCGTGTGAATATGGACAGAGACCTGTCTGATAGACTAAGTTTACAGATGAAGCAAATTAGGAACAAATGTTTTTAAAGCATTTTCTATTTAGCATGATTGTATGGTTCTTTCAAAAGGTTAGTCTCCAAACCTAGGGTTTTATGCCTTTTGGCCACGCCTTCATCGTTCATGTGTATAATAACTGATTTCTGAACATGGACTCCATTGAATAAAGGAAGAGGTTAAGTGAAAGATGCTATAGTCACATGTAAACAACAAGAAAGGTAGCATTTAAGGAAGTTATTATGTATATACTTGGGGAAGGTGAAAAAAAGCTCTTTTCCTTAGAGGATAGACACTGTCTTTTATACTGTATAAGCAGACACTATGTTTTATTTATCCTAGTATACTCTTGCCTTAGCATAGAACCACACACAGTGTGTGTGTGTATCTATTTAAAAGTATAAATTATATATATATATATATATATATAGTACTGATATATATCAATACTCGTAAAAACAAGCAATTAGAAATAAAGTAAAAAATAAATATTACAGTGCAGAAGAGGAAAGCGTAATGCCTCAGTACTTTTAACTATACAAAAGTAGGTTTTCTACAAAAGGAAAATAACTTAATCAACTTATTGGTCTGTCACAGAAATTAATAATATTACAATCTCTGTTTTCTTGATTCATTATTTAGTTTTAATACAAGTCTTTAACAACTAAAAGAAGAAATATTTAATTTCAAAGTTAGTGTTCCAATTCAGAAAATATCTCATTCATGAACTAAAATTTTCACTTACAAGTAAAAATATTACACCACACAATTCGCAATGTTTTGCTGTTTTAAATTCTTATCACAAAGTTCCTAATGTTCACATGAAGTGACAGAATTGAATTAGCTCAGGTAGTTTCTTGGTCTTACAGTCACTCTGCTATCATTTTATATTTTAAAGCTACTGTTTAGACACAAGAATATGAGTAATATCAAAGGGTGATCATGATGTCAGCTCAATGCAAGCATGGATAATTCTGAAACAAAACGAACTTACTTCTAAAATGAACACGTGTAGCTGATTCTGTGTGTGTGGCTGACTGGATAATTAGGAGTTGCATGATTCCGTGTTGCATTAACTTCCACGTGGAATATAATGTTTGCTGAAAGATCCTTAATTAGTATTGCTAATATGAAACTTACTTAGATATTATTAAAACTCAAAGTAATCATAGTGATTGTTTAGAACTTAAACCATAAAAAGGCATCCCCCCACCACCTGAGGAATATTTTATCACAGATATCGATTAGAATTGTGAATACATGGTGATAAAAAAAAAAGCAGACTAAATTTAGCTAGTTTTATTATTGTGTTTAAATTCTATACAAATAATGCAACACCTAAATTCAGGGGCAATCGCTGTCACCACCCTAACTTTGATACACCTCTAGTGGTTAATGCTGTGTTTCAGTTCTTTTTTACATCTAGGAAATCTTTGCCATCAAATCAAAGATTTTTTCCCGTGTTTCCTTCCAGAAGCCTTATAGCTTTTACTCTTAACGTTAGGTCTATGACCATTTCAAATTAACTTTTCAAGTGTTGTAAGGTAGTAGTCAAAGTCCACTTTTTCCCATATGAATATTCAGTTGTTTCAGCATCATGTTTTGAAAAAGACAAGAGATTTAGCATTGCATATGTTGAAACTTTTGTCAAAAATCAATCAAGTAGGTCCATTTATGGACACTGTTGATCAACATTATTTTTCTCATTGATCTACATGATCTTTTTCTCCTTTATTCTGTTACTTTGGTGAATGTTAGTGAACTTTCAAATGCTGAACAAATCTGGTATTCCTGGATAAATTCCACTTGGTTATAATGTCTTATTCTTTTTTATGTAGCTGGACTCATTTTGCTAATATTTGGTTGAGTATCTTGGCAAAACCTATGTTTTTGAAGGATATTAATCTGCAATTTTCTTTTCTTATAATCCCATTCTCATGGTGTGTTATTGAGATTATGCTCTTAGTTTCCTCCTTATCTAGCTTCTGAAAGAATTTATGTCAGTCTCGTATTATTTCCCTTTTAAGTGTTGATAGAATTCATCCATGAAATCACCTGGGCCTGAGGTTATTTTTGTGGGAAGGTTTGGTAATGAGTTTTATTTCTCTGTAGATAGCTGTTTGGAATTCTTTCTTTCTTTCTTCTTGCTTTCATGTCGGGAAGTGGGATTTTTCAAGGAACTTCCACACAGACTTGTGAGGCCCTTCCTCTGTGTAGACCCTCAGCTCCTAATCCTCATTGCATAGATTCCATTCACATCAGCAGCTCCATTCTCTGGTTTCTGCCTCTATTTTCTCAACAAGACCACCCTGTTCTTCTCGAACACCAGCTTGCTGTACTGTCACTGATAGAACGTCCTCAGGCAGAGCACCGTGGCACTCCCAGAGACCAGTATCTCTTCTTACAGGAATCTCTTCTTGTTCTCTCTGTTGTCTAATGCCTGAAACAGCCATTTCCCATATTTTTCCCCCAAGTTTTACAGTTGCTTATGGGGGAAGGCTTAGTCTCATATGCCAGCTACAAACTGGATCATGAGCATGAGTTGCTGCAGTTGCTGACTTTCAACACCCCCTGAAAGGAGTTGAGGGCAGAGATCGGGAACGAGGCATCTGTGCTTTGGGGAAAACTGGCAGAACGGGTCTTCAGATAGATATTTTCAGGAGAAGATTTTATGAGCACAATTCTTGCATATCCTCTTATCTAGAAAAGCACTAAAATCATTAATAGTGACATCTGTTCCTCGTGACTAGCAGCAAACCTCTGCCAACATGTGTGCTTCACTGCACGTCCACCCTTCACTAAAATCATATATAACACTGACCTTCCCCCCACCTCTCTGGAGCAGTTCCTCAGAGCTATCTGAAATGCTGTCTCCTGGGCTATAGTCCTGATTTTGCCCCAAATAAAACTTAACTCACAACCCTCACGTTGTGCATTTTTTAAATTGACACGAATGACTCCGTCTAAAAGAGGAAGTGTCCTGAAACTTAGTTTGGGCACTTACTCCCAATATTACAAGAATTTCAATATTTTTCTCACTGGTATTCAAGATACCCATTGTCCCATGCCTCCCCTTTTCCAAAATGTTTCCATCACCATTTCAGTCCTATCTAAAGTATTTTTATTGTATATAAAAATATTATAAGTTCCCTATTTTGTATGAAAGCATCTCTGAAGTCTGTTTTCAATATACCTTTACATACATACTGAGCTCTACCATCATGCACACACTACAAGCTCCAGCCAGCCTTATCTGTTGATGATTTTCTGAACCCGGCATCCCTTCTTGTTACGTGCCTTCATCAGTACCACATCCTAAAATACTCTTCCTTCCTTCCTTCTTACTATAAAAAAACTTTGCCAATTTTTAAAAACCTAGCTAATATCCTACCTCCCCAAGAAAATGATACAACAGAACTTACATATATTTTTTATATTAGTACCCCTTTGTTCATTAACTTACCAGATGGTCATGTTTCTCTTCCAAGAATATGTTTAAAGCTCAAGGAGGACAGAAGTTCCATATTTAGTTTTCCTAACTCAAAAGCACCTTCTCTATCTGTTAAGGGAATGGGTACTGATGTAAAAAATATACTCTCAAAACTCAGAAGCTTCACATCATTTAAGCTTATTTCTAGTTTACAAGTATCTCAAGCAGTAATTCTAATTAGTTAGGCCGCTGTCCTTCAAGTGACAACCCAGGGGGTCAGTCACCTTCCATCTAGGACTCTGCCATCTTCAACACCCTTCCAAGGTCACCATGTCAGACAAAATCAAACTGGAAGGGGTTTTACTATGTCTGCATCACTGTTCACAGTCTGTTGTCTAGACCTAGTCACATGGGCACACCTAACTGCAGGGAGGCTGGAAAACAGAGTCTGGCTGTGTGTCCTGCAGAAGGGAAATTGTAATAGCTTGCCATCTCTGTCCCATCTCCAGGGTATAATTTCTCCTTTGTCTTGAGTCCCCCACCTTTCTAAAGCTCACTTTGGTGTTTGAATTTTTGGAACTGAAGAAAGAACTCAGGCTGCTCTATGTGCCTGGGAATTATTACCACCTCTGATCTCAGCCCAGGTCAAGAGTGGAACAGAGGACCTCAACCGAAGGGATCTCAACTTCTAGGCACATCATGCCAGCAAGACGTTAGAGTGATGTCCTGCTTTTCTTGTATTTGTCTCCATGCACAAGAAGCAGAATTCTAGTCTTCTGAGAGAAGTTAGTTTTCAGGGAGAATGAAAAGGAAAGGCAAGGGCTCTGATCTTTCATAAGTAGTCCTCTTCCTGCTTCCTTGCGGGAACTACAGCCCTGCAAACTACAACCACAGTCCCAATGACTTTCTGCGGGGAGAAACGACCCTCACGACATAGAAAGGACCCAATTCACTCAACAGTTTAGATTTACAGTTTAGCATCATCTGTGTTTGCTTGCCTTAGATAGATCCCCTTCTCTCTCTTTTTCTCTGAACTGACACCCATGTGCTCAATAATTCAGTTCTTTTTCAGTTCCACAAAAGTTTATTGAAAGCCAGAACCAGGCCCTGGGGATATGAATATGAATTCAACAATGTTTGTGGATTTCAAAGTGATAGACAACAGATCTACACACACACACACACACACACACAACTCTAGTCCACATATCTCCCATTTTATCCAGTCTTTGTGACTAAGTGTCTCTCCCAGCTCTCTTTCTGCCATGGTCTTTGTGGAGACTGTAGCCTTTCTTATTAATCCGGGGTGCCTCTTTGATTCCCAACCCTGCCCAACCTCACCCAAGGAGATGGACTCGCTTCCCTGTTTCTCAGCCTAAATAATATAGTATCTGTGAGTGTCTATTTCAGGACCAAACCCAATGAGCATTAACTTCCTTTCCTCCTATGCTCTTCACCAGAACTGCTTTCCCTCCTTAGAAGTCTGATTTGAGAGTCCAGCATAACTATAGGTAAGATAATTCAGAGTAAAAATTCTGCAGAAAATGATGCAATAGAAATAAAAACAAGAGTCCATGTGTAAGACCTGAGGCTGGAGATAAGGACCAGGGATTCAGTCTCAACAACTCATAGCTCAAGAGTGAAGCAGTGAGGAGAGATAGATGCTAACACTGCCAGGTCTAAGTACCTCCTGCCCTATGGGAGGCTTGACCTGTGAACGTGCATAGGAGGGAGCCTACAGGTGGAAGGAAAAATAGGGAAAGCTCTGGGGCATGAGATAGAGAGTTTGGTAAGAGAGGCATTGCCTAACACCACCAGCATTTCTGTCTCTCAAGACTTCCCAACGGGCACACTACATGCAGCCAAACTGCACTGTCATTGATCCCAGTTTTGAGCCGTGATTTTCCATGCTGTGAACTGTAATTCT